CACAGTCGTTGGATCTGGACAGCTGCTCCGCGTCACCCTATGTTGTTCATTTCCGTTCAGTTCAGTTTTCCAGAACGTTGAAAGTGCTTTCATCTTTGTTGGGAAGAGCAAGGTGACTTCCAAGGCTGTCACAGGAGTGCCAGATCTCCACGATTAATGTATAGTTACCATGTGGGGTCAGTGATGCCCTTGAGGCTGAGAGAGCGGCCACAAACATTCTCACCCAACTCTGACCTCACTGCCAGCCCCCTCTATTTCTTTGGGCTCTCCAGAGAATTTGGCTCTTAGAAGTATGTTTTCAGGGCTAGTATGTTTTCCTAGCATGCATGAAGCCCTGGGTTCAACCCTCATTGTTCAGTAAACTAGACGTGATACAAGGCGTAGGAGTTCAGGTTCAACCTTGGACTACAGCACGAGTCTGAGGCTGGCCTAAGATTCTTGTCACTCTGTCTCAGAGGGGAGGGAGGGAGGCAGGGAAGGAGGGAAGAAGAAGGTAAAAATGAAGGGAGAACATTTTTAAGTAGTTCATTATGGGTATCTATATGTTACATCTGTTATATATTACAGCAAGTATCTTTATCCATCTCCCCAGTCCTTCGTGTATGCTTTCTATTGGCATGAACTGTGTGTGTGTGTGTGTTCATATTCCTCTGTATTTGACATAACCACTGCCATTTTGAATCAAAGCATTTATGATCCTCCACAAGAGACTCTCAGAAGCCCATCCTTGTTGACACTTCCTTATGAGGACCCTCACAAGGCCCCTTTCTGGGTTATGTTATAGATGAACAGTTGATTGGCGGATTCTTTGGTAGCTAATGCCCTGTGACTTGTCCAGGGAACCTCCAGGTACTGAAACTCCCTGTGTGTCACCATGTCCTGTGGTTAGCCCCTCCTGCTCCCTGTACAGGAGTTCTGTCAACCTACTGCTGCAGCAAGGTGAACTTGGAGGAGGTCTTCTCTTTGGTCTTCCCATGCCTTCACTCGCTGCAGTGAATAGTTTTCCCAGGAAATCCATCTATCACAGCGTCCTTGTCTGCAGATGGGGTCATAGGCCTGCCTGTATATGTCATAGCATAGCGCCTCCCTGGCAGGCTTTAGTGGGTCCAGGAGGCAAGCACTAAGCACAGACGTGAGAACATGACAGATGCAGATCTTCACCTCATCACAAACAGAGCGGCACCTACCAGTTAGTGGTCGCTACTCTTATTCCTGGTTAGGCATGTTTCAATTTTCTCCTCCACAAGAGAGACCTCTACAAGGATAGCAGTTTCTTAAATTACAGGGGACACCATAGTCAGAGCTACAGTAGGGTCCTGAGCTGCCCTTTGTCATATATCACAGCAAGTATCTTTCCCATCTCCCACCTCCCCAGTCACTTGTGGATACCTGTATTGACAAAAAATGTAGATCTCAATTGATTTCCTACAGATAGAATTCTTAGTTGCAGCCCTCCCTCACTCCCTCCCTCCCTCCCTCCCTCCCTCCCTTCCTTCCTTCCTTCCTTCCTTCCTTCCATGAATCTGTCTGATTTGTGTTGGACCTAATAGGTGAGGCCGACAATTCTAGTAATTCTTCCAGATTTTGTTCCCAGACATTGTTTCCTACACTCTGCAGAGTTCGTGTGACATCCATCCCCTGCCCACAGTCAGCTATAACCACAGCACTTACACGGTTCCCCCACAGGCTTTATTTTCTAAACTTTTATTTTTAACAACCTTATCCTTCTGTGCTTACATTTCCTTCTGGGCTTACAAGAGGTAACTAAGCATGTAGAGAAAACATCACAAGGCTCCTGACCACTGAGCAGACACTGTCTTAGTTCCTCTTGTCGCTGTGGTAACATTCCTGACAGAAGCAACTTTTAGGAGAAAGGATTTATATTGGATCACAGCTTAAGAGGATACAGTCCATCTTATCAGGAACGCACAGTGGGATCCATTGCTGTGGGTCGTGTATCAGGCACCTCACATCTCAGTGGACTCTGCCAGCCACGCCTCCTTCCTTAAGCATTCTATAACCTCCCCAAACAGTGCCACCAATTAGCAACCAAGTGTTCCTATACATAAGAATGTAAAGTACATTTTAATTTCAAAGAGTAGCACACTTGTCTGTACATTCTTCCATCCATTCGTCCATCCACTGGTTCTTCATTTTCAGCAGGAGTGTATCGGTATCTAAGCTGATCTGGTTTAGCTAGGCTCTAAAGTATCTTTTTAACTTTCAGAAAATACTATCCCATTATTTCATGTAGTCATTCTGCAGATATTTACTGCTGACCTACTGTGTGCCACTTAGATACAAATAAATGTTCAGGACCAAAGATTCAAAGGCAGAGAAACTCAAAGTCCCTGACACCACATAAGGTGGGGACAGTAATGACCTTGACCGACCTCCACACTGATGCCTGACTCCATCTCTACCAGTTGTCTTCTGGAAGCAGGTTATCTCTTAAGCCTTGTTTCCTTATCTTGTAATGGAGCCTGTTTCCCATGAATTCCTTTAATGTCTCTTTGTAGGGAGGAAACAGCCCATTTCTAATTATTGTTCATTGTTCTTCCAAAGTCATCATCCAGATTTGAGCCCACCAGTTACAAGTTGCATTTGGAACAGGGCAGGCAGCAGCTTAGTGCTAAAACCTAATGGCTTCTGTCTCAAATTAAAATGTTTGACTCTCCTGGTAATATCTGCCTTTTCTTTTCCACGGTTTTACTCACATGTTGCTTATAAATCTTAACTCTTAAGTATGAATTTTTGGCTCCCGGTTAAGTGAAATATTTTATTTAGCTCAGCCAAAGCCAAGCATGGGGCAGCCTGGGAACACTTAGGCACCTCACCGCACCCCAAGACATCTGTGTAGTTTGCTTCTTTGGGACTATTTGTTTTAGGGAAAGTGAGAGAGTTCTTCTCGACACTGGCATGATAGTTAGGTCTCAGCCTTGTCTTATTGGGCAAAGCATTCTCTGATACCCTGTGGCCTGGCTGTGGTGTAATCTTCAGTGCTCCTCACTGGAGTTCTGTCTGCTGCTGTGCCTCCAGCTCTAATTTCTGCCTGTAATCTGATGAAGGGGTTTGATTTGTTGCAGCCCTTTGCTTTGTGTTCACTGTGAGCTCAGAGCCACGCGTGCCTGGTCCCTCACACTAGCCCGGCACTCTGGAAATTTGTAACCCACTTTTGCTTAGACAGGCTCAAGGACATTGCTCGTTGAGAATTAGCTGTCAGATCAGGCTGGTGGTACCCCAGCCTTCTGTGTGCAGCCATGTTTAGAAGCCCAGGGCTTTCCAGCTGCCTGGGAGCCTTCAGATTTTCTGACCAACAAGGTAAGACGGGGAGGGGTGGATATGGAACAGGCATTTCATTTCTGTATCCATTTTCTGATATCTTTGCTGCGGAATCCAGTATTCTCCAGCATCAGCCTGGCCCTACAGCTGTCTGAAAGGATGTTTTAACTATCACAGTTCCTAACTACAGCTTGCAATTTCTGGAGATGTCTTTTTATTTTTTTATTGCTAAGCCATGAAAGCTTTTATACAGCAAATGTTGCTAATTAGATTCCAAACTATAGATCAAATTGCAGATATGCCAAGCTGTACCTAAAATATTTTCTGAAACTACATGTCTTATGTACGAACTTATTTCCAGCAGACAGTGGTGGGTGAGCTTCTTTTTCTTAACTCTTCATGTGAGACAGTTTGGAGAGAACCCGATCTCTTCAGTGGCTTCCTTTCCAGCTCAGAGAAAGGCCAGCATTTCCCATCTGCTTGCTGGAGCACTTTAGTGCAGTGTCGGAACAAACGTGAGCTGCTGCTGGTATTTAAGTGCCCATGTGAGACCCAGCCATTATCTACCCAGAATATTTCACAGCACACGACTCTGTTGGGACTAGACTAAGACAATTCAGGCACTTCCTTTTATAACATTTGATCACCCTTTGATCATAATTGTCTTTCTTCAGATTGTTCTGACAGGATGCTTGTGGGCTTGGAATCAAAGCCTGGATGTCTAATTGACTTTATATACTTCATTTCCGATGCCTCCCTGTTGGCCATAATTTCCAGTTTTTAGGACTTGGGATGTGTTTTGATGGAAAGAAATGTTGGCATCTGCTTTAGCCTGTACATCCCCCCTCCCCCTTGGGCTCTGATTCTAACTAGTAAACCATAAAGGCACTTCCTTGGGGGAAGGAGTTTCTGTCCCGAGTCTGCTTGTGTTTGGTCACTGTGCCTAAAGCTGCAAAACGGATTGTTGGCCGTGAGACCTGTTATAAATCCTGTCTCTGCCTGGTTTTCATTAACACATTCACCCTGGATGTGTGACTTTCCTGTCCGGAATTGTTACCAGCTGTCTTTACATCATATATCCTATCTTCAAAATAAATGAGCCTGCCCAGTGGTGTGGCTCAGCAGGCAGCACTTGCCGCCAACTTCAGTGACTCGAGTTCAATTCCAAGGACACATGATGGTAGAAAAAGGGAACTGACTCCTGCAGGCTGCCCTCTGACCTCCACACTAGTACCTTGGCACAAGCAAAGCCACACACCATGCACATGTGCTGCTGTCTAGATTTTAACAAAACAGAGGAGACACAGCCGAGGTACCCCTTGCTCTTCAGTGCCCCTCCTACCTCCCTACCTTCTCTTCAGGAATCTCAAGTCTACCAGGTAGACATCTCTGTTGTCTTCACCCAACTTGCTTAATTCTTTCTCCTCCCTCCACCTAGTATATAGCTGTTACTTGGTATTTAATTGTTTTAAGTTATTCTTTTTTCCATAACAATTGAAATGGCTTTGAAGGCTGTCAGACATTTGTTTAACCCATGAGCTGTGTCAGGGGTTCTTGAGAAGAGACAAGCAAACCAGATCTTGGCGTGTGAGATTTCTGCATTGAGTTTCCCAGAAGTTGTCAGTTTTGTTATTTGGTTAATACTGTCCTTTTTCCCATTGGAATGTCTTAAGCCACTGCATGACTGTTTTAACACTATATTATTTCTTTTCCCTTAGATTTCAACAAGAAGAACTTAGGATCCCTGGGATTTCCACATCAAAGAAAAGCTGCAAGGTAATGTAGCCTGTGTTCGTAGCCTGTGTTCAAGAGCTCATATGTTTTGGAGATGTGTGGTGGCTTTTAAGATGATCCCTTAAACCCCTTCTTTCTTTCTGCAGACTGGGAATAGAACGGGGGCCTCACACATGTACACATGCACACATGCACACATGCATACATGCACACATGCTAGGCAATGCTTCCCAGTGAACTGTATGCACAGCCTCCCAGGCTCTTAGAGTTCTATCCCATTGAGTTTGTTTGGCAGTATGTTTTTCCTCAGGATATTATTTAGTTATATATACATCCACACATATATACATATGCATACATGGATGCTTGCATATGTGTATACACACACACACACACAGTTCCTACATAGCCTGTGCAAAGTACCAGGTTCAGTTCCAAAGTGTGTGTGTGTGTGTGTGTGTGTGTGTGTATGAGAGAGAGAAAGAGAGAGAGAGATACAGAGAGACAGAGAGACAGAGAGACAGAGAGACTTAGCAGTATTTCCAGGCAATATGATTCTTCTGTTCTCCACACTGTTTTTGGGAACCCATTGAGAAATAGAACATGTGATTGTGACATTTGTAACTGATTGCCATCTTAGCAGGTGCCACTGCTCTGTTTCTCTCTCATTTTTCTCTAAGCTTTTGAGTCTGCCCCTAGGAAGCTTTTGATCTTTTTTTTTTTTTTTTTGAGGAAAAAGCTTAGTTTTGCCTATCCTGTCATTTTTCCCACACCCATCTTTCTTTTTTGTTGTTTTGGTTTTTTTCCTTGTAGAAATCTCTTTTATTTATACACATTTACCATCCCTTGCAACATAAATTACCCATAAAATGGTGTTGTATAACGTATTCACTTAGTAAGAATTCTATTATTTTTTTGCTTTGATTAGATATATTTTTATTGTATATTTTATTTATTTACAATACAGATGTTATCCCCTTTTCCCATTTCCCCTCCCTAGAACCCCCTATCCTATATCCCCTCTTCCTTTATACTTTTATACCATTTTAATTACATGCATGTATTAAGGTCAGTTCTAGGTTGAGGGTCTAGCAATACACTAGATGCAAATAGTCAAAGAACAAGCAATACAATACACACAAATAGTCAAAGGAAAAGTAAGGCATAAAACCCAATTAAGTGAACACTCCCATGATCACTGTTTCTAAAGGCTTGTCAGGATGACCAAAGTATCTGAGCCAACTTCCCTGTCCTAGCCCAAGGTTATTTACATGTCTAAAACCTACTTCCTTGTTCTAACCTAAAATTTAGATTCTTGTCTGAAATTGCTTCTTTGTTCTAGTCTCATATTTAGATTCCTGCCTGAGATTACTTCTTTGTTGTAGCCCATGATTTAGTTTCCTACCTGAAATTACTTCTTTGTTCTAGTCTACTGTCAGATTCCTGCTTGGAGCCTGCTTCCTTGTTCTTGGTCAATGTCATATTCCTGCCAGGCAGCCCATTTCCTTGTCCTTGGCCCATGTCAGATTCTTGCCAAGCAGCCCCAAAGGCTCTCCACCTCTCCCCCTTTTTTATTTCAGTAACGAGACTGAGCCTGTCTTAGGTTGTTCTGACAAGAGTGCCTTCCTTACCCATCATGGAATATGCATTATCAAAAGCAATACACTTCTGTCTTAGGTTGGTAAGGCTTTGTGCAGAATCTTACTCATCCTTGGCTTGCCAGCCTGTTAATTTAATAACTCTATATGAAGGTCCATTTTCAGGTTCAAGCCATGTACTTTGGCTGCCAGCATGTTGATGTTGTTAAAAATAAGCGGACAAGAAGGGCTGGCCTGATCAAGCTATATATGCCATTTCCGAGGTTTGACCAAAATGGAAATACTGACCTCAGGCCATGAATAATTTTATCGGCATTATCTGCAGCATCATAGCTCAACAGAACAGCATTCTTTAAATTCATAATCTCACTATGGAAAGTTAACACACCCAGAGAGGTGTTAGGATTATGCCAAATATCCTACAGGTGTCTTTAAACTTTTTTCTAATTATAATGATAATCATTGTGAATTTCGAAAGTAACACTACTCCAATGATATTTGTCATGACACTTGGGGTGGCTCCTAGCTCTTAAACCCTGAACCTCCTTCAGATAATTTGAATGGGTTATACAGCATCATTCATTGTTCCAGATAACTATATAAATCCTTTTGTATACTCAAAACATTAGTAACATTTTTTTTTACTAGATGGTTAACAAAAATAGTTGTCTTAACTCCTCATGTTAATGCTATTGCAGAAGCAGAGGTGTTAGCAATTAATGGAAGTAAAGGTGTTATACCAGCAATAATCAAGCCCACTACCCTCTAGCTTCTGCTTAAACCCTAACTCAATTTTTTCAGCACTTTCAAGCTTTTTTCAGAGAATTGAGGTTTTCTAATACTCAGGGAAGTGAGACGAAAACTAGTTGATAGACCCCTGTAACAGATGTGTCAGGTTTCAACACACTAACATAATTGGAAATTATACAGTCAGTGTAACTTACAATAAATACTGTAGAAGAGACAAAACCAATTTTAGCTTGGCAATTAAAAGAGCCTTAAAACGTGTGCTAAACCTTGTTTGAAGTTCAGATCCTGTCCCAACTTTATCTCTTGCTATCGTAAGATCATAATGAACTACAGCTAACTTCCAAATATGTCTCTGATAAAGTCCAGATCCAGTCTTCCAAAAGTAGACTGTTATTTCCCATATTGGATTGATTTCTAGACCAGTACATGATTGAGTCCAAATAGGTGGTCACCTTTACAAAGGATACAGGAGACATAATTTCCCTTTTCAATTCTCTATCTCACAAGGTCTAAGAACTTGAGGCGAGGCAACTTGTCCCATCTGGGATATAGTCAAGCCAAAGGTGCACACCCATCTTTCTTCCTCTCTTTCCTGCATGTCTGCATCTCTCACCCATCCTTGTGAGTTCTTCACTAGTCTTCACTTCTGCAGTTTTCTTCCCCTTGGGGCATTGTGGGTGCTAATCTAATTTAGCTACTGTCAGACCATGTTGCACATTGCTGATAAAGGACAATGCAAAAGTGTAAGCATGTGACACACCAGGCAGCTACATAGGACCCTCTGCTACAGGCCACTGCCCCCACACAGACAATCTTGGGTGCAGGTACAGTTTATCCCCAATGTACTTGGGGATGGGGCTCAACCTGTACATCACTGTGCTAGGAGGAGCTGACCCCTGTGCCAGCCTCCCTGCCCCTCAGATGCTCACGCCCGTAATGTATTGTGACTCTGGCACTTTACTACAAAGGACTTGGTTCCTTCACATTGTAGTAACGAGTTATCTGACTCTGCATTTGGAATTGGAGAGTGGTCTTATAAACATACCATGCAGAAAAGTCTCTGGTATATTCCATGCACATCTAAGTATAAAGTGAATTAGATAGCCGTTAGCAAAAGTACAAATATATTATTGGTTCACCCATGGTTCATGTCTCTGGCCTGTCATTAATGGTACCTTGGGCTCATTCCCTAACCTTTCCCTCGCAGATTATCTTGGCTGTAATGAAGCTAATAAATGAGGGAAAGAAAGATAAGGATAGGGAGAGGGGGAGGTATTACTTTTTCAAGGATAAGAAGAGTATAAATTGGAAGCCAAATGCTTTGGTGACCTTGGCTGAATGGCATACTAGACTTCAGAAGCCTGGGCTATTATTTTCTGTGACCTGACTATAGTGGCCTACCTGGCAGGCCACCAAGTATAAAAGGTATCCTTGGCATAGGATCTGTGTGCATGCAAGACATGCAGCAGCAGAGAAAGCCCAAATCACAAGGCAGAGGGGGTTTACCTTCACTGTCTTCTAATTTACCTTTTGGTGATTAGCAAGAAGCCAGCCCTGGTGGAAATATTCAAAGCACAGCAACATCTGGAAAACAGGCAGGCCAGTCACCATGCATTTAGATACCTCCAAATGTGCATATGTGGAGTCTTGAGGAGATAACGGGGTTTGTAGCTGGGGTTAGGGTCAGTATATGTGACAGGATGTCCCTGTCCCTCTATCAGTCTCTCTTTTCACTCTTGTATTCATAACAAGGTTTCCTGGGCATTTCCTCCCCTTTGCAATGCCACTGTTTGGTGGCTTGAAGGCATGTGTAAAACCGATATAATTTAACACTGGAAAAAGCATCCAGACTCAACAAGTTGCTGGCCTTCTGAGGAGGAGACTGCAGGTTGGGTGGTTTAGCCTAACAACTCGGCTGTTCTTGGATCAAGAGGGTGTTGCCCTTCTGAATAAAGGAAGGCAATTCACAGGTTCAGTGGTGTTTTCTCCACCATACACACCAAGCTGTTGCTCATGCCAGTGTAACTACATAGTCGAGCACACAAACACAAATTGTCATATTAAGAGAAATGTAAATAAATGAAAAAAGTCACCACTATAAAACACAAACTTACGTGTGATGGCAGTCTGGCTTTTCTGCTTAGTGTTTTTTTTTTCCCTCAATATCCAATCTCCATCTTAATTTAGTATGGTATTAATATGATAACTTTTAGCTTTCAGAAAGAGTTTCCCTTTGACGATAAAGAAGAATCTTCCAACCACAGGAGAGGCCTTGATGCCCAGTGCTTAGCTGCACTCCCTAAAGGTAAGAGCTTCTCTCCATGGCTTGGCAGAGTCCGAGCACACTCCTCCCTGACACTTTTGTCTGTGGTCTCCTCCATGTCCCCTCTTTACCCTCCAAGCACTGAATTCAGTGTAGGAGCCTTTCCTGGATTTTGCACCCCCTCTGTCTGTTATTCGTCCCTCCAGCTGCTGCTGGAGGCTCAAGAGGAGAGACAGCAAAGAGTCCATATTCTCTCTTTAGCTTTTAACCATCCTAAGGGACCTGGGGATGTAGCTCAGTTGGTAGAGTGCTTGCCTAGTGTGCAGGACACCTACCTTCACCCCCAGTGTCACATAAACCAGGCGTGGTGGGTCAAGCCTAGAATCCCAGGGTTTGTGGGCCAGGAGGGGAAACATAAAACTCTGCCTTAAGAAATAAAATCATTTAGGGATCTAGAGAGCTGGCTCAATGACTGGCAGTGGTTGTGAGCACTCAGTCTGGCAGAGGCCTGGGATTGGTTCCCAGAACCCATATGGTGGTTCACAACCACCATTAACTCAGTTCCTGGGGATCTAGCACCCTCTTCTGACCTCTGTGGGCACCGGGCATCAACATAGTGCACACACATACATACAGGCAAGACATTCATATGCTTAAATAAAGAAAGAGAAAGGACATAAAGTTAGTTGGATAGGGAAGTGGGGTGGGGGGAGTGTCTGGAAAATTTTGGAGGAGGGGAAACCTTGATCAAATTGTATTATATAAAACAATTAATGAAAAATATGAAACAAAATTAAAATAATTTTTAAGAAAAAATTTGAATTACTTTTCCCTGAAAGTCACTGCTCTCCTAAACTCTCATTCTTCTCCCTCTGCACCCTACAACCCAGGGCTGCTTCCTTTACCTCTCTGCTTCCTCCCAATATAGAGAATGCTGAATAGCTCATACCCACCCTTCCATCCTCCCTCCCTCTCTTGGAACAGGGTTGAGTCTCATATGTAGCCCTGACTTCCTTTGAACTCACAAAGATCCACCTGCCTTTGCCTCCCAAGTACTGTGACTGAACGCGTCAGAGGTCTAGCTTTCTCGTAGGCAAGAAAAGACACACACAGAGCTGGTGGACACAATATCACAGTTGTCTTTTGAATTTTAAAAAAATAATTTTTGTTTGTATGCATGCTTATCAGTGTGTACACTCCAGAGAACAACTCTGTATATGTGAATTAATTCTTTCCTTTCACCGTGTGGGTTCTGGGACTTGCACTCTCACCCACTGAGCCATCTGAGCAGCCTCAGCAGTCTTTTCTGAGCTGCTCTTTCCACTGGCAACAGGTACACATGAAGCAGGCTGCCTGTGTGTGTTCAGAAATGGCTCCCTTTGCTTTTGCCTCCAGCAGAATTGCCTGGTCATTATTTCCCCCAACAATAACAGTAGCCTGAGGAATGATCTCTTGGTTCCAAAATGTCGGTATCTCAACAGAGTAATGGAGCTCTTCCTTTAGAAAAGGCAGCTTGAGGAAAGGACAGGGGTTTGGTTGGTTGGTTTTTGTTTGTTGTTTGTTTTGTTTCTGCTCAAAGGGAGAAAAAATTTAAAAGAAATTAGATCAGAAGACATTTTCTTTTAATAAAAACTAAATCCAGTTTCAAAGGCATGCACAGACAACCTGGAATGTATCCCAAGGAGCTAAACAGATGATCTGCCCAGACAGTCTCCTGAGGATGGGCCCTTGAAAAGGCTCCCGGGATTGGACTGTGAGGCAAACCTAAACAAGGGAATGCCTCAGGGTTTCTGTGCTTATACAGCTGTCAGGTGAAATGTATGCTCTCTCGTGTGCTGCACAGAGGAATAGTGTCAGAATTGAAGGCTATGGATAAGATGTCATAGGATGAAAGACTAGAGTCGTAGCACTCCCCAATATGGAGTAAATGTGCCCCACAATTCCAGAGGTGTCTGAAACAGGGACAGTGCTGACACTGTGTGTGTATATGTATGATCAAATTTAATGTATAAGTTAGGTGCCACACTGAGATGTCAATACCCACACTCAGAGCTATGTGACAGGGAGCCTAACTGGGCTGGTACCTGGAAAACACTGCTGAGTTCCAGAGTTGGATACTGTAGAAACCAGGCTGTCTGTCAGGGGAGGAAATGGCCTGCTCGTCTTGAGTGTTCAGGAAGGGAGATTGCTAAACTGTGTTAGGGGGTTGGGCAGGAGTATGCTCTAGTGGATTTGTGCCCAGATGTCTGTGTTGTTGGGCATATGATGAAAAGCTCTGTCAAGCTGTTAGGAGTCATTGTAGACAACACAGATACCCAGTTGCATCCAAGACAAAGCTATGTTTAACATCTAGGATTATGATCAAAACTAAGTGTAAAGGAACAATTTGGTTCCATTGTAGCTGACAAGAACTGTCTGCTACAGATCTATATTGCCAAGGTCATCCCTCCCACCACACCCCCAGAAGAAGCCTCCTTCTATCTTCTCTGCCCCAGTTCCTCTGGATGACTACTGCAGTGAGAAACATGTGGTCAGGAAAAGGGATGTGCTGCTGGTTCCTGAAAATTTGTACTGTAATTTCAACTATAACAAAATAGAAAAGTAGACACATATTAACCAGTGTAATTCCAAAATTTATACAGTTGGTTATGAAAAATAAGTATAGGTTTTCCAAATCGATGTGTTAATTATATGTACTAATCAGATTCATGTTTCTAAACTCGCAAGGCTTTAGCTCTCTACAGCAACCCAAAATGTTCCCAGCCTCACCTCAGGCCCCAGGCTTCTTCACAACTTAGTTTGGATGTCCTTGATTTTGGTCAGGTGTATGAGGAAAGACTGGTGGTACTCTCAGAGGATCTGTCAACATCCTGTCTGTCGGCTCTTCTCTTCGAAGTACAATGTTGACAAATGGGCTATGTTTCTGTGTCACTTGGGTTGTCCTGGGCCCCAGACAAGCTGCTAAATAGCTGTGTCTCAGAGTCATCTCCTTTCAGTGACAGAGAGTCACATGACCTCTGTGAAGCTGAGCATTAAGATGGTCAGTTTTTCCTTTTCTTGGATTCACTGTAACATGAATCAGCAAGAGAAGGGAATAAAAGTCTTTACTATAAAAGGGTAATTGAGATGCTTAGGCTGCGGCCACCAAACCTGGTGACCCAGAACCTACATGGTGGAAAGAGACAACTGACCCCCTAAAGCTGTCCTCTGACCCCCTACACAGATGCATGACACACATGAACCTACAAACACACACACACACACACAAATAAATAAATGTAATATATTTTTAAAATAAAATAATTCTTTGGCTTATTATATTATAATATTAAATAGATTTCTCATTTTAGAATTAAATAGAAGTACATTGTTGTCTCTAACACTGTTATGAAAATATAGTGCACACCACTACACAGTTCACCCATATGAAGAATATGCTTCATTGACTCCTAACACATTCACCAAATTGTAGGTCTATTACCACAGTTAGTATTAAAGTGTTTTCCTTCTTCCATAAGGAACCTCAGACCCTTGAGGTGTCATCCTTCCCTGAGATTCCTTGGGGGTTACTCCTCAGTTGCCTGTCTTTGTACTGACCCCAGTGGAAGTCTAAACAGTCAGAGGTGTTGGCAGTACCTTACCACCAATGGATGTTTCTGCCCAAGCTCCTTTTATACTTGAGTTGGAAGACTAAGTCAGTACAGTCTTTACCAGAATTCCTTAGTCTCTCAGAAGTGGTTGAAGAACTAACCATATTTCCCAAGAAAAGCACTTGACAGACCAAATTATCCTGAATACTGGTGTTAATATTCTTCTTACAAGAGATGTTTGGCACACAGATGCATGAATGTGAGAGCCTCACTCTCCAGTTCCCTTGAAGGCCTTACTTGAGAACTCACCCACAAACTCCTGGCAGAAATGGCAAGACTCGTGGATGCAGAAGGACCAGTCAGAATTACTTAACAGAGTCATGGCAGCAGCTGGAAAATGGATAGCTTAGTTTAATCAAAATTTTAATGTATTGAAAACAAATAGAAGATTTCCTCCTATGGAAATTAGACCATCTGTGGTTGCTAATGGCTGCACTATATGTTGACTATTCCATGCAACCCCCACAATTTAGGAGTTTTATCTGTGGCACAGCATGCTGCCAATTGCATTACAGATACTCTAACTTTAGGAAACATTTTCATAGCATGATTGTAAGGAATTCAAAGGGAAGAATCTTTGGATAAAGAGCTTATTAAGTGTCATGAGAGTATAATCAAAGTACGCAGATTGGGGAAAGAGCTAAACTCAAACAGTAAATTGTTAGCATGTCACAAGTGTGCCTTGGAGACTTCTACATCTGAAATCACCAAAACCTGTTTAAAGAATTTAGAGACTTAGGGTTTGGTTAGGAGTCGTTTTTCCTACATAGATGTATATGCACTATGTGTGTGTCTAGTTTTTTTTCTGCATGTATGTATGTGCACCATGTGTGTGCCTCATGCCTGCAGAAGTCAGAAGAGGGTATCAGAGCTCCAGGAACCGGAGTTACTGAAGGTTGTGTGCCTCCATATGGGTGCTGGGAATAGAACCTGAGTCCTCTACCAGAGCAGCCAGTGCTCCTAACTGCTGAGCTGTATCTCTATCCCCATCAGCAAACATTTTAAGGCAGATGCCACTTAAAAATAAACACTAGGCACACTTCAGTCTCTAAGCATAAAGGCCATTATTAAAATCACATTCATCTGTATGCAGTGTCCACTTGTTAAAATGGCCACTTTAAAAGCAACAACAGAAATTGAAGTGGTCACTTTGAACTAGGGATATTAGCTCAGTGACAGGGAATTTGACCAGCATGCAGGAGGCCATGGGTTTAGTCTCTAGCAGAGCAACAGCAGTTACTAATTCATTAAATGCCATGTCTTAATTTCCCCTTTATTGCCTCTCCTATGAGTCAGCCTATCAAAATGTTAACCCTAAACTATCAGTCTTTCCTTACCTGTTAGCCTTTCCCTGTCCTGATAGCTCCTCCCCTGTCCTGATAGCTCCTCCCCTGTCCTG